GTCTTGACTGTATATTGGCTGTATATTATATTTCGAGTTCTCCTCCTCTTCCTTCTTCTTCTTCTTCTTCCTCTTCCTCCTCCTCTTCTTCCACCTGCTCCTCTTTTTCCTTCTCCTCTTCTTGACTATATATTCGTTTTATATTCCATTCCAAGTTCTTCTTCTTCTCCTCCTCCTCTTCTTCTTTTCCTCCACTTTTCCTGACTGTATATTCGTGTATATTCTTTTCAGAGTTCTTCTCCCCCTTCTCTTTCTTTTTCTTCTTTCTCCTCTTTTTCTTCTTCCTCCTCGTCTTCCTTTTCCTCCTCCTCTTCTTGACTGTATATTGGTTGTATATTCTTTTCCGAGTTCTCCTCCTCCTCCCTCCTCCTCCTCCTCCTCCTCCCTCCTCCCTCCTCCTCCCTCCTCCCTCCTCCTCTATTCTATTCCGTATTCTTCTTCTTCTTTTTCCTCCTCCTCCTCCTCTTCTTGACTGAATATTGGTTGTATATTCTATTCCGAGTTTGCCGAAAATTTAATAATGTCAAACAATATACATAATGAATACTTTTTTAAATCACTTCACCCCGAGCAAGGCGATAATGCCACTAAGACACAAAAGACTACTGGAATTGAAAGAGAATGAAAAGTCTTTGATTTTACTTGTATTTTAGAAATACATATCCCATCCAGTTACTTTTTATTGTCTTCTGTATTCGGAGAAAGTAACACATTTTATTTATCTGTCGTATGTAGTCTGTTGCTGCTGCTGTATATTTAGAGATCCTTGATAAAATCCAAAGAAAAATCTGTAATGTTATTTGTCCTGACCTGGCATCTCGGCTTCAGTCACTTCCTGCCCGCCGTAACGTAGCTTTCCTGTGCTCTTTCTATAAATACTTTAGTGGCAAATGTTCTGATGAACTTTCCTCTTTGGTACCTAGAATTTATGAATGTATGCGCAGTACTAGATTGGCAGAGAGGTCTCATCATTTTACAGTTGAAATAGCTAGATGTAATGGTAAGTACTATGCTAACAGTTTCTTATTCTGATAAGTATGTTCATGGTAATTGTTCCGATGAACTTTCCTCTTTGGTACCTAGAATTTATGAATTTAAGTGCAGTACTAGATTGGCAGCTAAGTCTCATCCTTTTACAGTTGAAATGGCTAAATATAACCGTTAGTTCTATGTTAAAGTTTCTTCTCTCGCACTTCTCGTTTGTGGAACTCCCTTTTGGCTTCTTGCTTTCTAATCAACTCTAATATTCAAAAATTTAAATGCAATGTCAATCTTTGAATTTCTGAGATAAGGATCAATCAAAACGTGCGTAACAGTAACAGCAAGGTAAGCAGCAGTCAGGTTAGGTTTAAGGCTCCAAGTTCAGCAAGTTGTCTTACAGGACAATGGCCTAGTAGATAAAAACGTTGGTTTGTGAAAATGGTGCAGCGTGTCGTTGCACTCAGTGGAAACGAGGGAGCAATAACTGAACAGCACTAAGTTAAAAAAAATGGCTAGACGATATCTCTAGACATGAGCAGTGAAATTGGAACAGTATATTCCCGTAGATTAAATAAAGGGTTCAGTTTAGATTCCCTCTAGTTTACCTACGTCGATATATACCTGAGGAAGTCCGGAGGGCCCAATGACCAAAACGTAGTTTTCACAACAACAAAGCTGTGGACAATAGCCCGAATATGAATAGTGTAAGCAATGTCAATCGTTATCTTCTGTCTTTTTAATTGCTCACAGTAACTCCTTATGTTTTTACAGTTTTATTGCTTGGGGGTGAAATGATTAAAAAAAAAGAAAAAAAATTACCCCTCCACCAGTTTACGATCATGTCACGCTGAGACACCGATACTCGTCCGATCACCGATATTGTTCATCTGTGTTTAAACATGGAACCAAGGAACTTTATCTTTTTCTATCCTCTTCATCCACTTAATAAACTAACCTTTATCTTGAGTTCTTCTTGTGTACAGAACGGTGATCGGAAATGAGACAAGACAAAATCAATGAATTGTTGTCATTGTGTCGATTGGCACTGGTAGTCAACGAATCATACATGTAAAAACAGCAAATAACTTTTGTCTCAGTTAATGAAATAATTAACCCTCGACATTTAAATAATCGCCAAACGTAAACTATATAGTTGGTATTTCTTTGGTCAGTGTAAGTCAATACACTATAACGGGTCTCAGTGCAGTCTGTGCTTTGCTGGTAGATTGCAGCAAAACTGCCGAAAGCAGTGAGTATCGAATGAACTAATTTGATTGATGCTATGATTTGTTTATTTGGTAGGGGCGGCAAAGATATGTGGATATCGTTTTAAGAGAAGTAAAGAATCGTGTAACGTTGGCAATAGAGATTTTTAAGACAAACTAAAATGAAATACGAACTGTTCAATATAATATGGTTTTCTCAAAATATCATTTGAGGTTGTTTAATGAATAGGAAACTAAGTCTGTGAGAGGCTATGCAAAAGATATCTTATATCTTGCGACAAATCTTAACCTCGTTGTCTGTAATTGAATGAAATCTTCTTCTTCTTCTTCTTCTTCTTCTTCTTCTTCTTTGTACCCTATTACTCCAAAGCGTAGGCAATAACAGCTCTTCACAACGTCCTATTCTTTTAAGCGTTTTGTTATTCAGTGAGAGTGTAGCACTCTCTCTTTCGTTCTCTCTCAATGAGAGATAGAGAGAGGGAGATGGGAGAGAGATGAGAGGGAATGAGAGAGAGAAAGGAGATAGATAGATAGATAGATAGATAGATAGATTGGCAGGACAAAATTACTATTCGAGCAATGATTTCTGTGTACCGTGTCCCTTTACGACGTGGACGATCATGACTCTCCATAGTTTCCTCTCCTTTGTAGATCGTAGTAAAGCTATCCCCTCCCAATCCGTATTCTGCTATTCATTTGCACAAGCTCCTTAGGTAGGTTACTCGCTGTCTCTCTCTTGCCTTCAGTATGTCCTGTGAGTGTCAAATTCTCCAAGCCTTCTTTCCACATAAGAGAAATTTCAACTGTTTCCTTCTGATTTTAAGTTTAATCGAATATTGAACTGGACGTATTGCAGGAGAGAAGGAAAGTCAGTCGTAATGAGAAATCAAATTTAAACATACAACGTTTTTATAAATTGGGACAGATGAACCGGCTTTGTCTGGATGGCGAGTAAATAGTTTTTTGTTTGTCTTTATGCAATTAGAAACAGCCTGTTAATGACACTAATGGCTAGCGATTTCTCTGCTGGATGAACAGATCCGAAAAGATAGAAGTCGATAAAGGGAAAAGAATATGAAGGGAGAGAGAGAGAGAGAGAGAGAGAGAGAGAGAGAGATTTGAGATAGAGATGAAAAGGTTGAGGTAGATAGATAGATAATGAACAGATTGTTCGTGATTAACCGGTGCAAGAAATGGCTCGTAAATTTGAATGCATCCAAAACGAAACTGCTCTCACCATAGAGAAAGAAGGGGTGAAAGAAAGAGAAATGAAAGTAAGGGAATGAGAGGGAGGGAGATGAGTGGGAGGAGGGGAGGGAAAAGGAGAAAGAGAGGGAGAGATTTGTGATAGTGAGATATGAAAAGATTATGATAGATATGAACAGATTGTTCGTGATTAACCGGGGCAAGAAGTGGCTTGTAAATTTGAATGCCTCCAAAACGAAGCTGCTCTCATTTAACCACCATAAAGAAACATTCCAGTCCACCATCAGCATAGCTGATTCTAGACTCACTGAGAACAAGACACCGCGCCTTCTTGGCCTCACGTTAACTTAACTTAAAGGGGAACGACTACATTAAATCAATAGCTGAATCTACTGCAAGGAAAGTTGTGTCACTGTGTCGTGCCAGAAGGTTTTTCTCGTCAGAATCCATCTTGCCATCCTGCTACTCTCAAGGTTCTTGACAAAATCCAAAGAAGGGTCTGCAATGTAATCGACCCTAACCTGGCATCTCGACTCCAGTCACCTTCTCAGCGACGTGACGTGGCTTTTCACTGTGTTTTCTATAAACATTTTCATGGCAATTGCTCCGACGAGCTTTTCCCCCTGTTGCCCGGACTGCGTGAGTTCAAGCGTGCTACTAGATTGGCATCTAGGTCCCACCCTTTTATTGTTGAATTAGGTAAATATAATCACCACTTCTACTCCAACAGCTTCTTTTCTCGTACTTTCCGACTGTGGAACTCTATCCCGTTACCTTGCTTCGCTGATAACTACAATATTCAAAAGTTTTAATGCAACGTCAATCGCCATCTTCTATCTTCTTGAACTCCGTTCAGCTTTTATGCTTTCCTTGGTACGCCTATACCCAATCTTTTCTCTCACCTTCACTCTCTGTACCCCCCCCCCCTGCGTACTAGTGGCATTCTCACCATGAAATGATTAAAAAAAAGATAGATAGATAAAGAGACGACTGAGATAGATTCATAGGTATGAATAGACTGAGATATATATGAGCAGAAATATATATATATATATATATAAAGAGAGAGTGAGCGATAGATATATAGATAGATAGAGAGAGAGAGAGAGAGAGAGAGAGAGAGATGGAAGGGCAGAGAGAGAGAGAGGGGGGAAGAGAGATTTGAATTGATACAGTCAACGACCAAAAAACCTTCAGGAATTAGAACGTGTAATCCAAGAAAAAGACTTGTTCAAATCTCATCAAAAACTTTAGAAAACGATTGCAGCAAGCTGTAAAGATGAAAGGCCATGATATTGACTATTAATATTGTGAAAATTGGTCAATTTTTTTCTATTTTTCATACTGTACGAATAAGTTTGTCCTTTCCTATTTTGCATAATTTGCCTGTTAAATGTGTTGCACCTAAGCTATTGTTCTGAAAATTGAGTTTTATATTCCATTCTTTTGGTAACGTATAAAAACCTGGCATCATACGTGCATTAGATTCTGAGAAATGGAAAAAATATTCAAAATTGATGGGTGTACAAATAATTTCGTCGTCAACTGTAGATATGAACAGATTGAAATGAACTGACACAGAGAGAAATGAACAGACTGAGACAGACTATCTATCTATCTATCTTTGCTAGTCTGTTCATATGTATCTATCTATGTCAGTCTGTTCATATCTATCTATCTATCTATCTATCTATCTATCTATCTATCTATCTATCTATCTATCTATCTTTGTCAGTCTGTTCGTATCTATCTATCTATCTATCTATCTATCTATCTATCTATCTATCTATCTTACTGTTCATCTCTATCTCAGTCTGATGAACTGACTGAAATAGATAGAGAGATAGACAATATGAACAACCCAACATAAACGATTTTCCGATTCCTCCCAAGCTTATTGACCACCCCTACGTTTTTTTTTAAATTTCGCATTGAACTTTTGAATAATTGCCATAACTCCTTTTAATTAAAACCCTCCTCCTTCATAGAGAAAAATTCCCACACCCCCAATGATTAAAACCCGTCCTTGTAGGACTCACGTAAATGACATTGATTTTGTTACTACTATTACCATTCTTTCTCTTCTTCTATGCACTGTGTCCCTTCAGGCCGTAGGCAATCATGGCTCTCCACAACTTCTTACACTTTGTAGCACTTAGCAACGTTTTTCATTTTAGTATACTTTCCCTCTTCAGTCATCCATTTACACAGATTTCTTAGCCAGGTTTCTCGCTGTTTCCTTTTGTCCTTATTGGCTTTAATATATCCTGTGAGTGTCAAATTCTCCAATTTCTCTTTCCTCATTATGTGACATAAAATAATGATATAATGAAAATTTTGACTTTCCACACAACCAAAAACAAAAAGTTAGAAAGGAAACTTCCATCAATACTTAGTCGTGGGTATGACGATAAAAACATTCGGCAGCAAGTCTTCTGATCGACATATTGGAGGTTTTGAGGAGCGTGGAACCACCTCTTAATTGCTGGTGTTCCAAGGTCCACCCTGATCCGGAGTGGTAGCACCTGTTACAGTCTCGGTTATAGGCTACCAAACAAAAACAAAAGTATAAAAATACATTTTATAATAGAAATACCAGTAATGCATTTTATATGAAACATCACCAACAATACATATTTATAGTAAAATGACCAACAAGACATTTTATCTGTAGTTTAAGGCATACAATTGCGTTCAAAATATATTTAGTCGAAGCCATAAAATTGTGTTCAAAATATTTAGATTTCGACATTCAATAACCTATTGAGGTTGATAGGCTGCTAAACAAAATCAACCAACCAACAATACATATTTATTGTAAAATTACCAACAATACATTTTATCTGTAGTTTAAGGCATAGAATTGTGTTCAAAATATACTTAGTTGAAGCCATAAAATTCTTCAAAATATTTAGATTTCGGAATTAAATAATCCATGATATGCGGCTAAACAAAATCAACCAATAAATCTACCGAACCCGTTTATATTAATAATGATATAATGAAGAATGTGGCTTTCCCCACTACCGAAAACAAAAAGTTAGCAAGGAAACTTTCATCAATGCTAGAAAAAGCGATAACAATTAGTGGACTCAAGATGCCGTAAATTTATATTTTGTTTACCAAATCTAGTCTTCTGGTTTAGATCGGGCGAGACATTTAAATTTCAAAACTCCAGAATATTTCCAGAGGCATAACTAAGAGGAGGGGGGTTGAGAAGTGAGGACCACACCAGGTGACACTATCAGAGTTGGTAGTACAAAGATTTTTGTATAGTTTTTCGGATAGACACAATAGTTTTTCTTTTTGCTGATTTTTCTTTTATTGTGCAAGTGTCGTTTCAGGACATAGGAGGTCATGACTCTCCACTATTTCCTATTGTTTGTAGCGCTTTTTTATTATTCCTTCCACTTTTCTGTCATCCATCGTTAGACAAGCGTTTTAGGTATGTTACACGCTGTTCTCCACTGTATCTCTTATATCCTTATGTCCTGTGAGTGTCATATTCTCGAAGCCCACTTTCCTCATTACGAGTCCTAGAAATTTCAACTCTTTATAATTCCAAATTTAAATTCCCTTTTTGTTTCCATTCTCCTTAAATCTTCCTTATATTCAACCGAGAAAGGCCGGAAAGCAAAATGTAGTGATAAAAACAACAAAGATGAGGACAATATTCCAAATATAAATAGTGCAAATAATAATCACTCTTCACCCGTGAAATTCAGATAGAAATGTATTAGAGAAGACGCCCTATATTTTCAAAAACTCTTTATTACATCTACTGGCTTGTGTATTTGAGAATCTTCATAAAGAAAATGTACTCTTTGGATAGGTTTCGGACCTGCCTTCCTCTTTATAAGGAAAACAACCTCTGATACGTTATGCTTTAGATCGCTCATTACAGTATATATATATATATATATATATATATATATATATATATATATATATATATATATATATATATAACTTACTTTTTAGTAGGAGTGAAGTACGGGAGTGAATGAATGTTTCTGAAGAAAGTGTACTTTATCTGTAGTTTTTATTTGCTGTTTTATCGCTAATTTTGGTCAGTCCTTGTGTTGGTCAAACGGCCTCTCTAAAGTTGTTTTTAAGATAGAGGATGGCAGATTCCTAACTCTCTCCCTTTCTCTCTCTCTCTTTCTATATATATATATATATATATATATATATACAACATATATATATATATATATATATATATATATATAGTGGACTCTCCCGTAATCGAACTATGAGGGTCAAGCAGCTCAGTTCCTAGGAACCGACAGTCAAGACCCCAGCACATATGATTTGATTATAGTGGTGAAGGTTTTGTGCAGAACAAACCACACTTTTTGAATGGTCGAATATAGAGACATGGTGCACTACGTGCCACAAGGTCCCCAAACGACCCTCCGCAGGTTTTGAATTCAGAGTTGTCCTTCTTCTAGGCTAGTTGCTATCCAAGGCTATAGAACTCAGTCTGTCCTGCTGGAGAGAGAAGCAGAGGATTCATATCTTTGCCAAGGGTATTAGAACGTAAGTGAATGTAATGGATTTGAACTCGGCTCTCCGATTCCTCAATCCTAACCGCTATCCACTACTCCACCGTGACTAAATATATATATATATATATATATATATATATATATATATATATATATATATATATATATATATGTGTGTGTGTGTGTGTGTGTGTGTGTGTGTGTGTGTGGAGGAAAGATGTATGACAAAGTGGAAAAAGTTATCATGTGATGCGTTTCGTCCCTTAGGACTTCATCAAACTAGGTTTGCTTATGTTGTGGAGTAGCTGAACACCCCCACAAGATGGACTGGTCTAAGTCTATTTAAACAACAATCTCTCTTACTGAGCGAGACGAGTTACCGATTACAGTTAACTCTGCTTCTCGACTCTCTGTCTTCGGGCGGAGAAGAACTCAGACGAGGCTATACCTCTAGGCAGAGTCTCGTCTGTCTGTAGAGGAAGACATCCACCCGACCCCGTGTATGCGGGGTCTACGGGCGATTTTTGCCCGAGCATATGCACTCGGAATTGCCCTACGTTAAAACCGGCCTCGTGCCAAATCCCGCCTTGTAGAGAGATCTCGGGTAAATACCTAGAAGTTAACGATTAATTGTTTTTTACATTAGTCTGTGTTCACAACCGTGTACAATATTATTCTCCGGAATAAACTACTTCTTATTTTCTATATATGTTTCAACGTTTCCTATTTACGGCATGACAATTTACGTTGATGTGACTATACATGCGTACGAACGAGAGACGCTGAGAATTGTAAATTTAGAAAATAAATTTATTCTATGTGTTTTGGGCATACAATCTAACCAATTTAATCTAAATTCTTTTTGTTTTGTTTATTTCAAACATCTTTGTTATAAAATATCCCACATTGTGATGATAAGATCTGTCTAGAACGGCTAATCGTTGTAAGAACCTGGACAAAAATTTACTGTGATTGAACTAGCGATTAAAGTACTTTCTAAAAATTTTCGTCCTAGTAAATTGTTTTCTCGCTTTATATAACTAATCCCAAACATATTAATCTCTTTTATCGTAGTCAAATGCATACTAATTATAAACAAGATGAAAATATACTAAAAAAATTAGTAAACACTAATATATCTACAACAGATCCCAGCCAAAAAATTAGGTTAATAATATACTACACTAAATCTAGTACATCCGACTCAATTATTCGCAATGATTCTTCCACCCTCCCCGATAGCGATTTGCAAAAAACTAACATAGTTTACAAATTCAAGTGCCCTTTGGGAGATTGTATCTCCAATGGATTAAATAATATTCATGTTGGTCACACCACAAACTCGCTTTCACGACGCTTGACACTACATTTGAATGATAACTCTAACATTTTTAGGCATTTAAAACAATGTGGCTGGCCGCGTACTCAGTTCAGGAAAATCCTTGTTGACAACACAACTATAATTAAACTTGAAAACAATAAACAAAAATGAAAAAATTCTTGAAGCTATATACATAAAACTGTTGAAACCTAACCTGAACAAAATAAACTGTGAATTACTACAAATATTCTGAAATGCCTATAATTTATAACAGAAACCATTGGTTTATACCAACGGCTTCCCATACTTAGTACTTCTTGTTTTTCACTATAGCGTGGTCATGTGTGACGCCACTAGCTGCGACGCGATTTTCGCTTCCGCGTCTCGTATAAACAAGTTTGTCGTTGCTTTGAAATTTTTCATGCAACAAAAACAGACTATCATTATTGTTTCGGCCGTGTATTGTTTGATATATTGAAATGTAATTGTCATCTTTGATAATGGCTTATGTAAGCTGAAAGCTTAGATTGGATTTAAACATGTATCAATATGGTGATTTCCTTTCGTCTTTCAATGTTAATGTTATTAAGCTTATCAGACAATATGAAAAGAACTTACTTATAATAAATAGACGAAACTTGTCTATATTATTTAATGAAACATGAATTAATATATATATATATATATATATATATATTATGCATAATATATATTTTATATATATTATTTACATGTTACATATATGTAGCAGTTATTGGTTTGTCTGACGATCGTAAGGGCGTAACACCCAAGGTCACAAACACACATCAATCCAACTAAATATATATATATATATATATACACACACACATATATATATACATATATATATATATATATATATATATATATATATATATATATATATATATATATGTCCATAAAGTTCGTGTGCACTTTACAAAATTATAACTTTATTTGTATTTGGCATAGAAATAATCTGTAAAAAATGTTCTAAACCTTAATGTCCCTAGTTTTAAGTATAGCTAAAAAACTAATGTGATTTCAGGCATTACTGTAAATCAGTTGACAAATGTTTTCCGTGAACTGCAAAATCGTTTTACCCTTTGTATTGCTAATGATGGAGGACATGTGGAAACTTAAATAAAATTTCAATAAAATCTTAAAAAATATAGTTTCACTTCTTTCTAATCCTTTTTACAAATTATTTCTATCGCAAATATAAATAAAGTTACAAATTTTTTAAAGTGCATACGAACTTTATGGACACCCTGTATATATATATATATATATATATATATATATATATGCAATATATTATTATTTATATATTATATGCGCGGTACTTATTAGAAAGCACTCAATATCAGAGATAGAGCTAAAAAATTGAATCAATCCAACCATATATATATATATATATATATATATATATATATATGAGAAAGATGAGAAGGAATAGCGTACAATTTCAACGTTTGTAACATTTAATTTAAAATAGGGCTCAATACAATGTAGAGCAATATTAATTATTTTAGGATATTACATCAAAATCATGTCAAAATCGCTACACAGTTGCAGTCGTGTTTCGATGCACATACAACACATGAACGCTCATCAGGCGATTGTAAATTACTGGCGGGTAAACGATTTATTCAGATTTAAAAGCAAAATACAGAAAAAAGTAAAGAGGGGGTGGTTATAAGCTTTGTATGCTTTACTCAGATTAACCAATCAAATATGATCTACGTTAAATTTAAACTAAGGGAAGAAGCAATAAATTACCAAATAATCCATTTCATTACCAAATCCCTCACAGATCATTAAATCTTTCAATAAATTACCTAATAATCCATATTATTATCAAATCCCTCACAGATTGTCAAATATTTTAATAAATTTCCTAATAATCCATTGTATTGCCAAATCCCTCAAAACTCTCACAGATTGTAAAATATTTCAATAAGTTACCTAATAATCCATTTTATTACCAAATCCCACACAGATAATCAAATCTTTCAATGAGTTACCTAATAACCTCTTGTACTACGAAATCCTTCAAATCTCTCACAGATTATGTTTTAATAAATTACCTAATAATCCATTTTATTGGAAAATCCGTTAAATCTCTCAAAGTTTATCAAATCTTTCAATAAATTACCTAATAATCCTTTTTATTATCAAATCCCTCAAATCTCTAACAGATCATCAAATGTTTCAATTTCAATAAATTACCTCATAATCCATTTTATTACCAAATCCCTCATACATTGTTCATTCTTTCAATAAATTATCTACTAATATATTTATTACTGAAGCTCATATATTGAAAACAATTTATATATTACGTAGCTTTTCGTACGTTTTAAATTTCATCAAAATTGTATTTATTGGGATTTCTGCAAATTTTATCCGATATTTATAAACAGATAAATTTATTTATTTATAAATATAAACAGATAACTTTATATATCTGTTTATGTAGATAAACATAAATAAATTTATAATATATTTAATTCATATGGTTTAACTGTTTATAGAGATAAAATTTAATCGCATAAAGCATATTTAGAAGCATCTGAAGAAAAGGCTTTCAGTTTTAGAGATGATAGTTAGAATGTTCATATTTACGTTCTTTGAAACCGGTATCAGGCGATCTCATAGAGGGTAC